CCCCAAAACCCCAAAACCCCAAAACCCCTAATTCCTGACCAAAATTGAACTTTTTTAGGATGCAGATTTCAGAGGAAATAGATATCATTCACCCAAACCAAAATCTTTACATCTCAAGAATAGATACACTATTAACTTTCTCTCCGCTTGCAAACTGAATATCGGTCAGTCCAAGCTCCTGTACGAGGTCTTTAAGGCGTTCTTGGTCAGTGCAAGGGGTAATTCAGATACTTGCAAGGTGGTGGCTAGTAATCCCTCCTCTCTTAACAAACTTCAAAACTGACCTGAACACAAAACTCCTACTTGAAACTGAGCCTCCTTCAAAATCTCTGTTGTCAAGCAGTTTCAGTTTTGTGCGTGAAAGAGTAGAAGTTAAAGAGGGAAATTTAGTGATGGGTTGTAAGGAGCAATTGAGGAATACGAGTCTTTGCGCTGAAGGAAGGGTGATGAAGATTTTTATAAACACACTCTGGTTGATCTGCATTCTCTTGAAATTACATATAGTCGTAGGAATTCCAATAAATTTCATCTTTAGAGGGACCATAGGAGATCCTGATAGTATGCTAAAATTCTCTGTTATAGAACTCATTAGCTCAATACTTCCAGTTTTCTTTTGTTGAATGTAAAGAATAGAGGAAAAGTTATTTGTAGATATAAGGTCAATTCTTCAATATCTCTGATGAGAAGTAGAAGATATTAAAGCTTTGGGTAATTTTAATGAGAGGAATTTTCAAATCGATCTGTGATATGTCAGCTACAATTTACCATTTGTTTGGATTTTTAATTTTCTTTGGAAATTTCCATATCTTGGAAGCTTTCTAATAAAATCATTAAAATCATGTTTTCATGATAAATGAGCATATGAGTGAAAATAATTATGATCAAAGTTTACAACAAAAGGAAAATATTTGAAAGAGAATGATAAATTAAGATTTATTTAGTCCAAAGAAGTTAAACAATCAAGATTGACTAAAAAAAAATTCCTCACATCTCTCGAATGTTTAGATTCTCAAAAAGTATCTAAATAATATTCTTTTTCTAACAATTCCAATTCTTCTCTCCTAATTAATTCCATTTTAAATAAAATTTCAATAAAAAATATAACCTTTGGGGTTTTGGGGTTTTGGGGTTTTGGGGG